AGTGTTCAAAACCACTTCCCCTCGGAGCCAATCAGAAGCCGGGGCTCACCCCGCGGCCCTGAGGTGAAGTTATTTATAAACGCCTCCCTGGATTATTTGAGCAGAGCCCTTTCACACACCTCAGAACACCTTTTGGCTGCCCGCTGCCCAGACACACCTGCAGCCCTGCCCAGCTGCTCTGCTCACCCACCGGTAAGCCCCACCTGGCCCGGCCCAGCCCACCCCACCAGGCAGGGCAGCCCTGGGAGAGGGATGACAGGACCCACTGGGCACAGGGTGGGCTGCTTCCCACCTGAGCAAAGTGGGAAGGACACTGCGGTCCTCAAGTCTGGAAGTAGCCCCCAGGTCTTCACCTCTGAGAAGCCCGCTGGGTCCCCACTTCCGGGAAGGACTTTCCTTGAGGCCAGGCTTGGCTGAGGGAGTGGAAGGACAGAGGCCATGGTGGAGGAGGCCCCGTAGAGCCCCACATGGAGAGGGGCCAAAGAGCCACCTGCCCTGCCCAGCCTCCCAGGGAGGGGACCCCGGGCTGTCCTCAGAACGCCAGCCTTGGAAGCAGCAGGCTGTGCCTCTCCCTTTCTTTCCAAGCCTGGGAAGCGGAGCGCCCTCATGCGTGGCTCTCCAGCCTGCTCTGTGTGGCTGTCCTCCTCCTCCCACCCTCCCCGATGTCCTCCGTCACTCATTCAGCTCAGGCACTTAGCACGGACCACAAGGAATCCTGTTTGTCCCATTAACCCTGAGAAGTTGGAGGAGGTGGAGCAGAGCAAAGCAAGGCCTGGAGGGTGGGCAGGGTGGGGGAGTGGGCGGGCCCGAGGGGCGAGCTCCCTGGCCAATGCGTCAGCCCTGAAGGCTTTGGGTTTAGACTGCTGAGGTCTCCAAGGGGGCTGTGGGCAGCCTCACTTGGACAAGGAGCCCCGTGAAGGTCTGGGAGTCCAGATGGAAGCCCGGAGTGGCACTCGGTGACAGCCAGTTCCCCGGGAGTGGGTGACGAGCCAGCCCCACAGGCTCCCCTCTTCCCAGCTCCTTGTCTGGCAGCTCTGAGGGTCCCACATCACCCTGGGGCAATGGGCTGATTTCCATTCTGAGGGTCCAGCCCAGGCCAAGCAAATCTTTTACCCTCCTAGGGCCGACTCCTCTCTTGAACTTGGACCCATCGGGTCTAAGCACTGGCTTAAGGGCCCTTGGTGTGACACAGCCCCCAGGCAGGGAGAATGAGCCAGGGCTGTCCCCCTAAATGCCTTTGCTCTCACAGACAGCCCCATCACCCCCGGGCTCTCCCCTGGCCCTGGCATTCAGAACCTGACAGAGCCTGCCTGGGCACACAGAGACTGGCACACCCACAACCGCTCACTGCCAGGGTGGCCGTCCCAGCTCGGCCCGAGGTCTGCTCCACGGCTCTGAGGCCCGTCTGTATGAAATCCAGGGGGCGCAGACGGGGCTCTTTACCTCTTCGGCACCGGGGATTGAACCCAGAGTCTTTCACGCCGAGCTTCTTTTATTTTGAAACAGGGTCTTACTGAGTCACCAAGTGGCCCAGGTAGGACTACAACCTTCGGTCACTCTGCCTCAGCCTCCCAGAGTGCTGGGATCACAAGCATCAGCACCACACCCAGCCGAGATGGACTCTTTGTATCCCTTAGTGCTCAGTCTTGCAGGAGACAGGCACCTAGTCAGTATGTAGTGAGTGTGATTTAAACTACACTGAACAACAGGCGTCGCCTCTCTGGGGGACAGGGGACCAGCTGGACACAGTCCAACTTCTGAAGGGTGACAGGGTCACCTAGAGACACAAGAGCAGAACTCACTCCGTGCCACGCCGGGCCTCGTCCTGGATACTCAGACCTCACCGGTCTCCTTGTCTGGGCCCCTGCTTCCCAGGGAGGCCAGTCTCGGTCTGGAGACACCGACAAATCTAACCCGGGCGTCTATCCCAGGGGCCACGTGACCCTGTTCGGGCCTTGCTGTTGGGGAGCATCCTGAAGCCTTGGTCCCTCTGACCGGAACTCATTTCCTCATCCTCGCACTGTCCCCATGCCCAGCAGGGGAAGCAGAGGTGGAGGGGAATTAGCTGGAGAAAGGGGTGAGACATTGTCCGGGACATGCTGTCCTTCCTCACGTCACCAAGGAGGACTCGGGCTGGGGTAGGAGTCACCCAAGAACCCTGAGGATGACGGAAAGAAAGAGTATCTGAAATGCCCTAGGGGTACACGGTCCTTTACAGCTCCCTCTCCTGTCAGGGACACGTCTCCGGCTGAGATCCAAGGCCTCCTGGCCCACTCGGCCCTGGCCAGACAGAGGTGCCCTTTCCCTGGGGCCCCCCCTGGATGAGCAGAGGCTACCAGCAGCTGGAGCAAAGGGGAAACCTCAAAGTGACCTTTCCTCTCCCAGAACGCAGTGACCGGCCAGGTAGGGACAGTGATAAGGACACCAAGCTGGGGCTGCCCCGTACCTGGCACAGACGCATCAGAGGTTCCCCAGCCACAGCACACGCACACGCACACGCACACGCACACACAGAGAGGGCTGGGGTCTCGGCGACAGGTTTCCAGACCCGACCAGAACCCACATGGGGGATCCTGCAGCCCTGCTCCCAGACGTCCTTGGCCTCTTCTGAAAAGACTTCCTGCGTTCCCTCCTGCCGGTCCTGGGAACATCTGGAGGGCTCAGGGCAGATAGGGAAAGGAAGGCCAAGGAAGCCGAGTGAACTGAGGAGCAGGAAGGAGAACCTCAGGGTGACAACAGCAACAGGAGTGGCCCAGATTGCTTTCGCGGTTCCCGAGGCCGGGCACCAGTCCAAGCCTCTCCAAGCTGTGACTCTGGTGCTGTGCCTAGTGTTCTGAGGACGTCCACAGCCCTAGACCCAGTGGCCTTTCTTTTGCATGAGTTCCTGGTAGGGGCGACCCACTGAGTCCTCTTGCCCAGCTCCTCAGCCTTGCAAGGCCCCTGGGTCCCCAGCCCCAGACTGGCCTCACTGGCCCCCCAGAGCTGGGGTGCCTTCGGGGCACCCGCATCTCCCACTCTGCTCTTCCCGTGTCCCCCTCTGTCCTCTGAAGCCCCGCAGCCGCAGCCCCCTCTAAGTCTCTCCAGCTCTTTGGACCTCCTTCCCTGCATGGGGGGCGGGCAGGGCCAGTGTTCTGTTCCTCACTGAGGTCACACGGCCCCTGCTCTGCTCCTGGTCCTGATCTGGTGAGGGTGGGAGGCGGCAGGCACCCCTATACATACCCAGGGCAGCAGAACACTTGGCCGATGCTGACATCACCCGGCAGGGCTGCCTGTTTAACTAGGGATCAAATTGTCTCGTTCCATCTACTTCTCTCAGTTCTCGTTCCCGCTTCCACTTCCCACATCCACACCCCACCCCAGGAGGAGCCCCTGCTCCCCAGGACCCTGCAGCCCCTGAGCTCTCAGAGAGCCTCAAAGCCTGTCTGGGAGGGGCAGGCCCTCCCCACCTCCCGAGCCCCTTTCCTCCACTGTCCCAAGGCCTGAAAAACTGGCTGGGATGAAGTGCCTTTCCCTGCTGCCCTACCCCACCTCAAGCCCTCTTCTTGGAATTCGGAAGAGCAGGCAGGGCGGTGAGGGCTCCACCTCAAGCCCTCTTCTTGGAATTCGGAAGAGCAGGCAGGGCGGTGAGGGCTGGGGAGCTCCAGAGCCCGCAGATTTGTGACTCTGTCATCGTCTTGAGTAACCTGAAGCCAGCTGGGAGGCAGACCCCACCACAAAGTCCCCAAAAGAGGATTCAAAGCTGGGTGCATCCCTGTTTTCCCAGCACTCTGGGAGGCTGAGGCAGGAAAATCCCAAACATGACCCCAATCTGGGCTGCTTAGCAGCTTAGCAACAAGCTGCCTCAAAGTGAAAAGGCCTGCGGATAGAGCTCAGTTCAAAAACCCTGGCTTCAATCCCCAGTACCAAAAAAAGGGAGACTCAGAACCCAGAAATCCTGTCTCACCAGCGAGATGGCAAGGTCACCAGAATGGTCTGAAAGGAAACTGGATGCCACTCAGGGGACAACCCCGGGAAGCAGAGATCAGTGCTGTCCCCGGAGTCCAGAGCCCCTGCTCACAGGACCACTTTCAGGGGAGTCAAGGCCTGGTTCAGACCCCTCCCCCCTCTGTTTGAGACTCAGGTTCTTCAGCCACATAGAGGATTGGGCTTGCGTGGTCCGCAAGCTCCCTTCCAGACAAAACTTCCTGACTCCAACTGGCTGCTGGGCTCTTTCTGCATGTGTGGTACAAACCGAAGGAGCCTTTTCCAGTTCACCCTGTTTAGGGATGGGATGGGTAGACAGTTTGGGAAAAGGGTAGATGTCATTGGCAGTAAAGCAAGGGAGCTTTTCCCCCTGCTGGCCTGTGTCACCGGGGACTCCCTAGCATCTGGTCCCCAGCGGAAAGGAAGCTGCCCGGAAGGGCAGGGACAGTCCTGAGTCACCCACCTGCTCACGCTCTGAAGCAATTCCACCACCCACCCCTTCCCCCTTCCCTCCCTAGAAGGATGGACAAGAATGCCCAGGGTACAAGATGGACAGGAACCCGGGAAGGAGGTCCCTGAAGAAAGACAGATCCGTCTGGGCTAGGACGATCGGGAAAGTGTTCACTATAGAAAGGAGGAAGGAGAGAGGAAGGCGGGAGAGGAAGAATTTAAGCAAGTCTTAAGGATGGGCAGGTCTAGAAAGGCAGAATGAGTCAAGACACTAGAGTAAGGAGGAAAGAATGAGCAGACACCCAAGCTTGTTGGGTGCTGAGCAGACCCAGCCAACAAATCTCCTGAATCCACCAAAACAAGCCAGAGGATGAGAAAGCAAATGTCAAAATAAGGATGTGGGGCTTGATTGATCTTCCTGGAAGTAAGTAAGAGGGAGGGAGAGAGGGAGGAAATATGGAACAGGGAGAGGAAAGAGAGGTAAGATTTGATGAACAACTGAATGTGGAGGCTGAGAACAGGCAGGGACATGTGGCAAAGGAGAGGCTAGTGACAGAAGGAAGGAACTACTGAGGAAACGGGGGAATTGGCGGTGGAGTTAGGGTAGTAGGGTGTGGTGGGGTCAGATGTTAATACCCCCCCACCCCATCCCGGGGAACTACTAGAGCTTCTCAGTTGGGACGCTTCCTCGGAAGGAGGCTCAGGGTCCCCGCGTGCTGGGTGCCGTGGCTTCGAGAGTTCCTGTCAGCAGCCCCTTTTCCAAAGCACTCTTTTCGGATTCAGCCTGCCTAGAAAGTTGGGTTATTTCTTTGCAAGTGTCTGCTGGGTGGCCTGGGACACTTTCCCCAAACCACAAGTCTCTCTCTAACGCCCAGGTATAGAGCTCTGAACTCCTCTCTAAAGAACCTGCCAAGAAATCCACCTGGGAAGCCAGACCTGGGCAGGCCAGAGGGGGTGGCCAGGGAGCGCGAGGCCACCCTGCCTCAGAGAAGGTGAAGGTGGAAGCCAGAGAGTGGGAGGAGGAAGCACCTCCCACCTTAATAACAGTAATCACTGGCCTTACCATTCCCCATGGGGCCAGGAAAGGCTGGGCGCTTCACACTCATGACCTCACTGAGTCTTCACGGCCACTGCCTGGCACTGTTATTATCCTCCTTCTCCAAGGAAGAAACTGAATCTTTGAACGCAGGTCATTCTGGCTCCCAAACTTGTGCTGTTTTTCTGAGGCTGCTCTGCATTTCTCCCACTGCAAGGCCTCACTCACTTCTGCCCACCTCCTCTAAAACACCACGTTGATTCACTCAACAAGCACTGCAGAGTCCTAACCGAGGCCCAGGCAAGGGGCTGGGCACGGAGGTCCATCCCCGCCTTGCCTTGAACTGGGTGCCAGGCATGAGGTTTGGCCAAAAGTCCACCTTCCCTGTACACAGCTCCCAGTGGACCTCAGTGCTGAGGCCGAACAAACGGAACGTGTCAGCCCAGCGTCCCCACCTGGAGCACAGCCTGTTAACCACAGGACACACATGCACACCCCTCGCACTTTGCTTCATTCCTTCTCACTCCCTCCCCTCTCATCCCATCCTCTGCACAGTCCTCTGAACTGGGAAGCTACCCTCCTGTTGCTGATGAGGAATCGGGGTTGGAGAGCCAAGGTCACCATTCCACCTCTCCGGTAGAGCCAGGACTAGAAGCAGGTCGGGGACCCTGAGCGAACCCCTCTCTAGCTCTCCCTACTGTCCTCTTCCACAGACTGCACCCACAGCCCGGTCTCCTCCCATGACCCCCTCAGGAAGTCAGCATCCAGCTCCCTGTGGGTTCATGTCCAGCTGTATCTCAAGCTGGCCACAGCCACCCTGAACCCCCAATCCCAAGCACAAAGCCTCCCCCGAAGCTGCCCCACTCCCCGCTTCTTCCAGCATCTTCCTCGCAGCTTCTCCTGGCCCTGGAGGGCAGGGGACAGGGAAAGGGACCAAGAGACATAGAGGGGAAGGCGCCTTCAGGGCCCCGGCACCAGCTCTGCCCAGCTCAGTTCCTGGGACTTCAGTGAGGTTGCGCAAACAGCAAGGAGGAGAGACGCCAGTACACAAGGGTGGGGGAAAGCTCAGGCACCGGAAGCTGTGGGAGAGACAGCCGGCAGTGGACCGTCCTGACTTTCCCAGACACGCCATTGTCCCTCCCAGGGAAACCTGTTGGTGAAGTCCGAGGCCTCCTATTCAGGAAGGGTCCTCCTGAGGTCACCTCATCATCCCTCTGCTTCCAGGAAGGTTGTTTTCTCTATTTGTTCCTGGCTGAATGACAGGAGCCTTTCGGAGAGAGACAATGGTTTGTGGGAGGTCTAGGGCCCAGGGAGGAGCAGGCTCAACACACTGCATCCAACTGTGACCTCTGCCCCAGTACTGCCACCTCCTCTTCACCTGGTGCCCGCGGGGGTGAGAGTGATGTCACAGGTGCGCAGTGTCAGCCACGTGCTGGCACCAAGTAAAACAGCCACGGTGAGGGTGTGTGTCACCAGTGCCCGGGGAGGAAGGCCACCAAAAGAAGCGACTTGATGAAGGGAGGCACCGTGCTGCATGGGGTGGGGAAGGCCAGCATAAAACTGCTGCAGGAGGAGCAGAAGAAGGTGGCCCAGCTGTGCTGCAGAGAGATGCCCTTCATCTTCTCTCTCTCTGCTCCTCCCAGAGCTCGTAGGCACTCCAGACATGAGCCAGCCCAGGCCCCGCTACGTGGTGGACAGAGCCGCGTACTCCCTCACCCTCTTCGATGAGGAGTTTGAGAAGAAGGATCGCACATACCCAGTGGGAGAGAAGCTTCGCCATGCCTTCAGGTACCATGGCCCAGGGCCCAGCCTCCTCCTTCCTCTGCTCCCCACCCAAGTCCTCCAGCTCCGGGCGTGGCTCCTGCACCAGTATCTCCACAGCGGGGCTTCAGGAAACCCTCAAGTTCAGTGCCTACAAGCTCATCTTCCCTGAGAGCCCCAGGGGGTGTGGAGAGGAGGAACGAGAAGCATCTACAGTCTCAGGAGGGTACAGGGCACCCTGCATCCCTAGACTCCGTCCACCCAAGTCTCTCTTGGGTCCTCACAGGAGGTGCACAAGCTGTAGAATGGAGGGGAGGGGTACTCCTGCCATTTCTCCTCTTTCCGGCCTTCTTCTACTTGGTCCAGAGAATTCCACAGGAGGCTCTAAATTCCTGGGCTCTCCCAAAGGGGATGACCTACCTGAAGGCCCTACTACCTCCAGGCTTTTCCTGCCTTGGATCCCTGGCATGTTGATGGGCAGTGTCTCCCTGCTTCAAAGCAGAGGGCTGCACAAGGTGATTCGGATCCATACCCCAGGGCTTGAGGCCACGTGCTTCGCCCTCCCCGTTCCTACTTTGGGGCCCTCGTCCAGGCCTAGCTGTGGGCTGGCTGGTGCACGCTCACTCCCCTGGGCTAAGAGCTGATTCAGTTACCTGGATTGAGGTTGCTGCCAGTGGCAGAAGTGGAGATGCAGGTGGAACTGGTTCAGGCCAGGGGAATCACCCACTTGGGTTTTACTAAAAGCCCCGGCCCAACCCTGGTTCTCTTGGGAGGTTCCATCTCTGCCCAGTTACAGCCAAGGCCTTGGGTGCCCCAATTCTGGACACCAATACCCACAGCTCTGCTCCTCGGATAGGTGGGCTCGGTCAGTCTTTGTTCCCAAAGAGTTCAAGTCGGGGTTGCATCTGTGCTGGAGCAACGGGGAGGTCTGCTGTGGTCCTCAAAGATGAGGATGATGTGAACCACAAAGGGAGGTGGGAAGCCAACAATTCCCATGATGCATAGGAGACTGCGAACAGGCTTGGCACACAGAAGGTGTCTGGTGAATATCTGTCGATCAATGAGTGCCTGGAAAGCCGACCCCTCCCTCCACCGGGGCACCTCTGAGGCCTCGGTGTGGTTGTTCGGCACCTGCTTCTACCTCTTCTGTCAGACTTTAGATTGCTTGCCTCGCAGACGGCCGAGTTGCAAGTAAGGCTGGACAGGTACTACCACTCGTATGAGGAGTTATGCTTTCCCCAGCCAGCTGTCTACTCGTGAATCTAGTTCTCTCTGCCACACACAACACAGCCTAACAGAGCTCCTGCAGGGCTGCTTCTCTCCCAGGACAAGACATCAAGGATGCATTAAGCGACTCACCAAGCCCATCTCCCCCTCCACCATCCCAGGGATGGGAGAGCCACATGCAAGTCCCAGAGGAGACTGGGCAGCCAGTGATGCCATTCCGCAGGGTGTTTGTTGGGACAGAAAAACCTCCCTGGACTTTCCAGGACACAGAGCGTTATCTGTGTTGGTTTCAGTCTTGGGTGACATCCAAGGGGCCCAGTGTCGGGTAAACTATTGTTGAGCAAGAGCAAAGAGCAGGAATTGGTGCCGGACAGGGAAGCCTAATCAGACCAGGCTAGTGAGTCACCACATGGGCCCTGAGTATTTGAGTTCCTTCAACTGGGAGAAGAAAAGCAGCCCCTTCCGGTCATCAATCCAGCGGCTGTCACCCTTGTTCTGACTGCTCTGGAGTTTCCATGAAAGGGCCTCAAGGTGTTCAACAAACAGGGAAGGGATAGACTCTCCTGGCCCGCAGTGGCCAGGGAATAGTCTCCCATTCTTCCCTCCTCCACAGTGCATTAACCAGCAGAGAACTCCCGCACGGAGGCCGTCACACAAAACAAGGACAGGGAGTCAGCAGAGCCGCACCCTGTGGGGACAACAGAGCCTTCCTTTTGGGGAAAGTTCAAGGAAAAAGGGCAGCAGGCAGCCCCTGGCTCAGACTGACTTTCAATACCAGCTAATCCATTCACTTCTTCATTCTTTTATTCCACAAGTATTTACTAAGCAGCCTCTGTAACAGTGGATGTATACAGTAGGAACAAGAAAGACAGACTTCTCCCACGGTGGGGTTTGCTGTCAGGAGAGACAAAAAGCAAGTTGTTACTGCACAGGATGCAGGCGGAGCTGCAGGAGCCCAGGCCGGGGTGCTTGGGCCCGCATTCGCATGAACAGGAGCCAAAGAAGCCTTTCCCGGAGAGAGGCCATCAGAGCCAGGGGAGGCCCCGACACCTCAAAGGCTGAACCACCATGCGACCCACACCTTGAAGCCAAGCCTGTGGACTTCCTAGACTGCAGCAAGGAGACATCCAGCTGATGTCCAGGGCAAGCTTGGGAGCTGTCCTGAGAAAGTTCCTGCTGCTCCCCTTGGGGGCCCTGGCAGGCAGCTCAGTGTGGGTGCCCAGAATCCTGCCCGAGATCCAAGTGGGTTTCAAATGCACGCATGGACAGGCTATTACCAGCCCTCTCCAACCTGCCCTTTTCCCTGCAGATGCTCCTCAGCTAAGATCAAAACTGTGGTGTTCAAGCTGCTGCCTGTGCTCTCCTGGCTCCCCAAGTATAAGATCAAAGAGTACCTTCTCCCTGACCTGCTTGGCGGGCTCAGTGGGGGATGCATCCAGGTGCCACAAGGTGAGAAGCCCCTCAGTAGGCCTGGCCTGCTATGCCCTCCTAGGAGTCCTCTCCCTACCCCGACCTCATCCCTCTGCAACCCCCATAAGCCAACTGTGCTCTGAGCCTTCACTCTTCGTCACCTGCAGGCATGGCATTCGCTCTGCTGGCCAACCTCCCTGCGGTCAACGGCCTTTACTCCTCCTTCTTCCCCCTCCTGATCTACTTCTTCCTGGGGAGTGTGCACCAGATGGTGCCAGGTAAGGCCGCTCCGCTTTCCAGGCAGGATGGTCTGGACCCTGAGGCTGCATACCATGGGAAGGAGGCTCAGGTTCCACCTGCTTTCTTCCAAAGCTGGGGTGGGTCAGTCTTGGAGAGTCCATCGCTGAGTCGGCCCCAGGTCCTCCGTGACCTTGGAGAAACCACTGAGACTCCGTGGTCGGTTAGCAGGACCTGTTCTAGTTCCTTCCCTGGAAGGAGAGGAGGACTTGGCAAAACAAATACATACACTACTCGGGCTAAATAAATGCAGGAAGCCACCATCTAATGCCGACTGGTCCCAGCAGGCCACTGCCGGACATTTGGAGTTCTCTGGTGCTAAGTGAATAGAGAAAAAGGACCTGTCGCCAGGGCTGCTTTCTGGTGCAGGCTTTGCTTCTACTTCTGAGCTCTCATGTCCAGTGAGATCATTGACGGGTGGGACAAGAGCACCTTAGAAAACATAGGCGGTGGCTAGATGTGATAGATCTGTGTCACGGAGACGGGTGGTACAGACAAGGAAGCCGTCCCTGGGCCTTCTGCTGCTTCCACGGGCATGCTCCAAACCTCTGATTTTTGCTGGCTGTGTGGGACACCACAGGTACCTTTGCCGTTATCAGCATCCTGGTGGGTAACATCTGTCTGCACCTGGCCCCAGAGTCAAAATTCCAGGTCTTCAACAATGCCACCAATGAGAGCTACGTGGACACGGCAGCCATGGAGACAGAGAGGCTGCACGTGTCAGCGACACTCGCCTGCCTGACTGCCATCATCCAGGTGAGGGGGACACCCCAGCCCCTCAAAGCCCTGCCTCACAAGGGCACCAGAAAACCCCGCCTCAAAGCCCATGACGTGATGTCAAATCTGACGCAGGCCCTCCACCTCCTCCCTCTCCCCACCCCCGCCCCGGGGCCAGAAAGGACCTGAAATGTCAGAGTAGTTTCCCACCTGCATCTGGTAGGTCCATACTTAAGTCCAGCAATGGTGATGAAATTGCCCTGAATTTTTTTTTTTTTTTTTGGTACCGGGGATCGAACTTGGGTCCTTGAGCTTGCGCAGCAGGCAGCGAAACCACTGAGCTAAATCCCTGGCCCATGCCCTGAATTTTAAAACCACCGAGGCAGATCTGCTGCCCTAACTCTCTGTCAGCGTCTGCAGAGGCCCCTCCAGCCCGCACCATCCGCCCCCAGCCACGTGGCAGGTGCACAGCCTGCATAGCCTGAGCTGCTACCAAAGAGAGCAAAGGTTCCTAAGTTTTAGGAAGGGGAGCGCAGCAGGCGTAATGTGAGAGCAACAAGCAGCCTCAGGGACGGAACACCTTCCTTTCGTTCATTCATTCAGTTAGTGGTTTTCCTTGTTTTCTTTTGTTTCGTTTTGTTGGTTGTTTCTCTATGCCAGGAACTGGGCTAAGCCCTGAGGATACAAAGATAAGTCAGAAGGGGCCCAGTTCACAAGTTGCTCCTAGCCAGCAGAGGAAGTAGCCATGTCAACAGATAAACTTCTGTGCAGAGATAGGTAGCACAATGGAGCTGGGAACAGAGAGGAGAGAGCCAGGAAGACCTGAAAGAGGAGGTGATGCCGGGCCTCTGAGAGGATGAATAGAATTTACCGGTAGATGAATGAACAGGTGCCAAAGGGAGATCCAGGCAGGGGGAGCTGCACGGAGGCCTAACAGGGTAGAATCTGAGCAGCAAGGAGTGCGCTGAGGCTGCAGGACACAGGGCCAGAAAGAGACCAGCAACCGAGGCAGGGGCCAGACAGTGAAGTCTGGATGGAGTCCCCTGAGCATTGGCTTCCGGTCTAACTGGCAGTGCATAAGGGTCTTCGGGGCTTCAGAGAAGGTGGAGGTGGAGTAGAACCAATGTTGCGACCTGCAGGGACTACAGCGACCCAGCCAGAAGTGACAAGGGCCTAGACCAGGGTGGTGGCTGTGGAGAAGAAGGTGCCAGGGACATTTTGCCAGGAGCATCACAGAGCACGGCGACGGGGCTCGATGTGGGAGGTGAAAGAAGATGACTCCCAAGTTTTTGGTTAGACAGCCAGGTGTGCGGTGGTGCCACTGACCACGACTGGAGGCAGTGAGGGAGAACCAGGCTTGTTTTACAGTTAAGGGGACCAGAGCCAGAGAGGCAAAGTGACAAAGAGACCCACGCCCGACAAGAACTGAGGGCCTGGTAAGGGGCACACAGGCCCCAGGGAAGGGCAGGACAAGGCACAGAGGGCTCATTTCCCCAGAGCTGCTGCTGTCCCGTGCTGCATGGGGCTCGGGCCCAGGCTGGTGTCAGGCAGGTTGCAAAGCAGATGACCCCTCCTGATCCTCCCACCACCCCTTTCTCCCTTCCAGATGGGCCTGGGCTTCATGCAGTTTGGCTTCGTGGCCATCTACCTGTCTGAGTCCTTTATCCGGGGCTTCATGACGGCTGCCGGCCTGCAGATTCTGATCTCGGTGCTCAAGTACATCTTCGGACTGACCATCCCCTCCTACTCAGGCCCAGGGTCCATCGTCCTTGTGAGTCTGGGGCGACACCTGCAAAGGAGGCAGGTGTTGAGCAATCATGGGAGCAGTTAACTAAAGAACCCTCTTGCTGCTCATCCTGAGATGTGCTCAGCAAGGGCTGGCTGAGCTGTTGTTCAGAGGGGATTCTGGGGAGGGGCTTTGGAGGGGCTTCCCACCCTGGCTGGCCATGGGGGTCGAACACGAGCCTCCCGAGCTTGCTGAGGCCACGGTTAATGGCTGCAGAAAAGGAGAGGTTCACAGCATGGGTTCCCTATTCCAGTGCCTCGAGCCCTCCCTGCCTGGAAAGTCCTTCCTTAAGTCTGACCTCCGTCCTTCCTCTCTCAGTTTGTGCTCTTGTAGAGGAAAAGGCAGCAGTCTTGGCCCAGCTCCTGAGGTGCCCTTTGGGAGAGGGTGGTGGCCGCTGCGACGGTGCCCATGGCCTTCGTGTGCCACCAGCATGAGCACCGACGGCGTCTCCTCCCCTGGCGCAGGCACCCAAGGTGGGGCCGTGTGGGAAGAGAGGCCCAGGTCCGTGAGCCTGACGCTCTCTCCACAGACGTTCATTGACATTTGCAAAAACCTTCCGCACACCAACGTCGCCTCGCTCATCTTCGCCCTCATCAGTGGCGTCTTCCTGGTGCTGGTGAAGGAGCTCAACGCTCGCTACATGCACAAGATCCACTTCCCCATCCCCACAGAGGTGGTTGTGGTAAGGACCTCCCAGAGCCAGGACGAGGCCTGAGAGAAGAGGACCTGCTCCAGGCAGGGCCAGGGATGCCCCACCTGCCGCCCCGCCCCTCCGTGGACAGCCAGGGGGACAGGAAGTCCCATTCCAATTCCCCGTGTGGGGCTCTTCCTCCCTTCCTGTTCTCATACTGTCCCCCCCGAAGCTGCCCCAAGGCAGCAGAATGGTAGAATTTGGGGCCCACATAGAAAAGAGAGACTTGGGAGAGACCCCTCGAACTCAGCTTACGGCCCACCCCATTCTGCACTCTGGGATTTGCAGGTGGTGGTGGCGACAGCCGTCTCCGGGAGCTGTAAGATGCCCCAGAAGTATCACATGCAGGTCGTGGGACATATCCAACATGGGTGAGTCCAGGGGGCCCAGTGGCCTGCCCCCCACCAAGGCCCGGCCTCAGATGGAGGTCATCAGAGGCCAGGCATGGAGGCACAACCCTGAAATCCCAGCCACCTGACCAGAAGCTGTGAAGCAGGACTGCAAGTCCGAGACCAGCCTGGGCAACTTAGTAACTTAGTGAGAACTCAAAATTTTTAAAAAGAAAAAAATTTAAAGGGCTGGGGCTATGTCTCAATGTGAAGGCCTGGGTTCAGTCCTCAGTACTGAAAAAAACAGGATGTAGCTCAATTCTTCCTGAGTTCAATCCCCAGTACAATGACAGGAAGAAAGCGAGAGAGGGAGGGTTTAGAAAGTGTATGAAACTGACCACATGTGAATTATCACTGCTACCTATTACCAAGAAGAGCCACACAGCCACCGCATGCTGGTTATGAAGAGTCTGTCTTTCTGCTCCGCTCCCCAGTAAGTCCCCTGCACTGAGGCTGGCAGCCCTCTCTGATCGGCCCTTGCTGGCTCTGTCAAGCTGTCATACACTGGCTCCTGTGAGTCATGCAGAAAGCTATTAGGATCAGCCAACCCTATTAGGATCAGTCAACATGCTGGGCCCCCAGAGAAGAGGGACAGAGTCTGTCCTGCAGAGAAGGAGCAGGCAAAGGAGGAGAGGACCCAGCCCCAGGACCTGTGGTCTGTAAACTCGAGAGTGAGAGTCCAGACAGAATCTGGGCACAGACAAATGAGGCCCTATCACTTAGGGTGCAGCCGGGGTGCTGCAGGAGCCATGGTACCTCCCGTGGGGGCGGCACCACAGGAGACTGGGCGAGTTCAGCCATACCAGGGCCTGGCCCACCGTGGGTCCTGAGGTGACGAAGGATTCAGCTGCCTCTGTCTCCTCACATCCCTGGGCCTGCCTCCTTTCTGGCTCTTCGGCAGGTTCCCCACTCCGGTGTCGCCCACGGTTTCACAGTGGAAGGACATGATTGGCACAGCCTTCTCCCTGGCCATCGTGGGCTATGTCATCAACCTGGCTATGGGTCGAACCCTGGCTGGCAAGCACGGCTACGATGTGGATTCTAACCAGGTAGCTCGGCCACCCTTGGGGGACAGGTGGAGGGGGACCCACAGAAGCCACGCAAGGATTCCTTGGGGCACGGAGATGAGGCAGCAGGGCCGGGGGGCTCTCGCCCCAACAGGCTGCGTTCCCCTTGACTGCCAGTGTGTGGCTTTACAGCACAGGGTCGCTCTCAAGCTCCCAAGCCCTAGGCTCAGGATCCAGCCCGCACGGCTGGCTGGCGACCTGGCGACGTTTGGTCCCCGCTCCCCCACCAACCCAGCCCCTCTCCCCACAGGAGATGATCGCCCTGGGCTGCAGCAACTTCTTCGGCTCCTTCTTTAAAATCCACGTCATTTGCTGTGCACTCTCCGTCACCCTGGCCGTGGATGCAGCTGGAGGGAGATCCCAGGTGAGCTGCGCGCTGGGGAGTGGTGCAGGGTCGCTAACAACTGTCCCGGGGAGGCCCAGGGAGGCCAGGCTCCGCAGTCCAGGCCAGCCTTCCTGGCTCTCCTCTTCCTGCCTCACCTCCACGCCACCAAAGGCTCCAGGGGGAACCAGCCAACAGCTAGACTCCCCTGCTCCCAACTCTTTCTCCGAACAGATGGCAAGCCTGTGCGTGTCTCTGGTGGTGATGATCACCATGCTGGTCCTGGGGTCCTATCTGTACCCTCTCCCCAAGGTAAGAGCCCCACTGGAAGCAGCCCTCCCTAGGAGTTGGGAAGGGGACACCCCAGGTGACACCAAGCAATGCTCTGATCCTCCAGTCTGTGCTGGGAGCCCTGATAGCTGTCAACCTCAAGAACTCCCTCAAACAGCTCGCCGACCCCTACTACCTGTGGAGGAAAAGCAAGCTGGACTGTGTAGGTACTGGGCAGCCTCCGGGCACCTCCTCCAAACCCACACACTGGGCTAAGGCTGAGCCCCCTGGTCGCTGCTCTCTCGTTAGCGTAGTCTAGAGGTGAGGAGTTCAGGGTTTGCAGGAGGCGTCCTGGGTTCAAATCTTAACCCAGCCATTCAGTGGCTCTGCAGCAATCACCTTATCGCTACCCGGAGGGTGGCTTTGAAATGAGACGATATTGGTTACACCCTTTCATGAAATAAGTACCATTTCCCTCTGTGAATTAGGAAACCAGGGCTCCCACAGCAAGTAAGAGAGCCCAACTCTGAACCCTGGTGTGTCTGGTTCAAGGTGCATGCTCTAATTACGTCCATGCTGCCTCCCTGTGCATGCTGGTGTCTCAGGGAGGGGCTAAGCATGTGGAGCACTTGCCTAGCATGTGTGAAGCCCTGGGTTCCATCCCAGTACCACCAAGGAAATAGAGAGGGAAAGAAAGAGGGAGGGAGGGGAGGAGAGATCAGGCAGCCACCCCCAGTCTAAGGGAAACAGGCAAGTATAACCAAACCCCAAATATGTAAATCATTGCAAAAATGCACTGAAAAGGAGAGGCTAGATCTGAGAATGTGCTAGCAGAGTGACCTTGTTTAATCCCGGAAGTCTTCCTGAAAGAGGTGGTTTTTCTCCCCAAGCCTGCTCTGACACCTCTCTCCTCACAGTGTGTCTGGGTGGTGAGCTTCCTCTCCTCCTTCTTCCTGAGCCTGCCCTATGGAGTGGCCGTGGGTGTTGCCTTCTCCATCCTGGTTGTGGTCTTCCAGACCCAGTTGTAAGTAGCAGTCTCCTCCCTTCCCATGCACAGCACTGGGGTGGCCAGGCCAGCTTGCCAAGGGTTCCCATGCCAAGGTTGTGCCCTCGACCTTATAGGCCTGGCACTGGAGGTGCTGCCAGGCCTGGGAGAATCTGGCCCGGATAGGATGGGCCAAACTGTCTGACTTCCTGTATCCTCAGCCACGCAGGAGGCCAGCACAGACTGGAAGGCCTGAGGGGTACAGAGAGAGTAGAGGAAGAGCTGATGGGTGAGACCCAGCATACTTCCAGAAGTGCTGCCCCAACTGCAGACCCAGTGAGACCACCCTAGGACAGCACCAGGGCAGAGGACAGACGCTGTGCTCTTTCTAAAATGGTTTCAGTAGTAAAAGCCAACCGCACCAGAGAGAAAGGGGCTGGACTGGCAGGAAGGATGCTGAAGCTAAAGACTCCTTTTCTTCCCTTCTTGAGAACTTAGAACCAGGAAGTGGTGACTTCGGGGCCACTTAAGTTTGTCACCTTCCCTGAGGAGTCGGGGAGCAGCACCAAGGGCCTGCCTGTCCTCCCCTCGTGACAGTCTAACCGCAGGCCGCTGGGCACGCCTCCAGTGCAGAAAGGCGAACACAAGCCCAGGGCGCAGGTCCTACACTGGCTCTGTCCAGAATCCTTCCAGGCCCACCTGACCCCCTCATCCTCACGTTTTTCATTTCCTCTTCATCTAGTCGAAACGGCTATGCTCTGGCTCAGGTCATAGACACTGACATCTATGTGAACCCCAAGACATACAGTAGGGTAGGTAACCCACGAGCATGTCACCTCCTCTTGCAGTCCCCCCACCCTAAGGAGAAGTGTTTTTGAAATAAAAACAACAGAGACATTTCTGCAACCTGAGCTCAGTCTGCGTGTCACAGGTCCAGGAAATTGAGGGGATTAAAATCGTCACTTACTGCTCTCCTATCTACTTTGCCAATTCAGAGATCTTCAGGCAAAAGGTCATTGCTAAGGTAAGGCTTTGGTGACCAGAAAGGCTCAAGAAGGAGTGGCCAGAAGATGGAAGCAGAAAGGGGCTTGGAGCTAAGAGCAGGCCACCCCCACAAGGGTGGAGGTCAAAACTGCTGTTGGTTCTCCCCCGACAGACCGGTATGGACCCCCAGAAAGTATTACTTGCCAAGCAAAAACACCTCCGGAGGCAGGAGAAGAGGACGATGCCCACACAGCAGAGGAAATTTCTCTTCATGAAAAGCAAGGTGAACAGAGGCCCCCGTTTCTGATTTTGCCCCTTGCACCCCACCTTCAGTACCCCAAGTGGAAAAGACAGGAAGTCTCCGAGCGCTGCCAGGCAATCTTCAAGGGGCTGTCAGCTCCCAGGGGAACCACCGCACTCCCATGTTATGGCAAAGATAGGCTATTGCCCAGGGACTTATTAACAAGCCTGGAGGGGGCACAGCTGTGAACTTCCGGGGTGCCCAGCCAATCCAGAGTAGCAGCGCTGGGGCGGAAGTAGGAGCTAGGGAGAAGCACTCAGACGTGGATACATGCAGAAGGGAGCTCAGCTGTCCCCAAAGGAACTTCCTCCCAGGGCACCGTGGGCCAAGACTTTGGGGCCCCTGTGGAAAGGTCCTCTGATGTCGGGGATGTGGGAGACCAAGCTCACAGGCCCACAGGAAGGGAGTTTGGGGGGCTCTCCGTGGGGTGTTCAGGGCCCATGTTCACACCTCCAAGCTGCGTGACCCTCTTCGACCTGTCCCCTCCCGCTGCTGCTTCAGCCGCAGCGAAGCCTGACTCAGTTCCGTGGTCCCTGACTCAGCCCCCACCCTGACCGCCACCCCCAGACGGTCTCCCTGCAGGAGCTGCAGCAGGACTTTGAGAACACCACCCCTACTGACCCCAACAACAACCAGACGCTGGCCAACGGTGCCAGCGTATCCTACATCACCTTCAGCCCCGACACCTCCTCGGCTGCCCCAAGTGAGCCGGTGACCTCTGCAGAGCCCAAACCCAGGGACACTCTGACCAGCATCCCACCCTTTGTCACCTTCCACACCCTCATTCTGGACATGAGTGGTGTCAGCTTTGTGGACCTGATGGGCATCAAAGCCCTGGCCAAGGTGAGGCCCTAACAGGAGGGTGTGCATACTTCCGTCTCCCACACTCCTGTTCCAGGGAGGCTCCGTCTCAGCAAGCCGGCCCAGCCCCTGATGAGACTGGGCAGATGCTCTCCAGGGAGCAGGCCCATGCTGGGGAGTCCCTGCAGGGGCGATCCCAAGTGCCCTCTCAGGCCACCAGGAGTCAATCCGCCAGGCCTCCGAAGAGACCTGTTAGCCACAGGTTCATGGTCTGCGCCTGCCTAGGGGAGAAGAAGCAATGAGATCAGTGCCCGACCTCAGGACACTGTGAATGCATGTACTCGTCTGCTGACTTTTCAGTGGGCCTCCGATGGCTGGGGCTCAGATGGAGGTGCAGTCACTGGGGCAGAGGAGGCCCTGGGCCCAGCCTGGAGCCTCTGCCTACTTCCCCAAGCCTGGACCTGGAGTCCAGGTCTTGGCTGAAGGCCTGGGCTCACTGAGCCTCCACCCTGTCCTTCGGCTTCTGCCTGAAGCCACAAGGTTGGGAAAGAGACAGAGGTGGGAATCAAGCTACTGAAAAAGAAGATCTGGTCCCATAAGGCAGGCCGTGGTGACTTTAAGTGCCCTCCGTGTTGGCAAAGACCCATTTCCATCCCACTTTCCAAAAGCGCCTTCGGCCAACACTCCAGAGAGAAGTGCTATGTTCAGCTGCTATTTTTGTCTTTGGCATCCAGGTCCCTTGGGGTTGCTTACTTGTTGGCTTCCTCTCTGAAATGCATTTGGGACTCACTTTTCAGACCCACTCAGAACATTCCTTTCCTTTTGTCTCCCACCCTCAACCTCCTCCAACACTTCCAGTTGAGCTCCACCTATGGGAAGATTGGAGTCAAGGTCTTCTTGGTGAACATCCATGGTAAGGAAAGGCAACGCGAAGGGCCTGAGAAGCTGGTGAGGGAGGCGCTGTGGGGCCAGTTGGTGGGGCACTGGTAAGAGATGAGAGCACTCTAATATTCCCCCAAACGTGTGCGTAGGAGTAAGAACTTCAGATCCAAGTCAAAAGAGACTGGCCAGAGGCAGGGGTGGAGGCGCACGCCTCGGATCCCAGCACTCTGGGGAGCTGAGGCAGGACAATGTAAAGCTTGAGCTCAGGCTGGGTAACTTAGCGATTTAGCAAGACCCTGTCTCAAAATAAACAGTAGAAGGAGTGGGGTGTAGCTCAGTGCAAAGACCCTGGATTCAACCCCCAGTGCTGAAAGATGAGGGGGGGAGCACAGATGGTATAAACATCCTAGGGGCCTCAGTAACAGTCAGGGCCGTGGAGCTGAGTGAGGACAGCCAGGGTTGTAATCTGCCCCTGACTTGTTGTGTATCCTGGGCCAAGTCACTTTATCTGTGTAGGGACCCATTTCCACCTGTGTAAAGTACAGGGTTGGCTGCCTGTGAATGGGGACCCCCTCCCGTCAGCAGGCCCAGGAACTGATGCAAACAAGTGCACGCCCTCACCTCCCTGGGCACACGGAGCTGCAGTCTCCCACGCACGCGGCCGCAGAGCAGTGGACATTCACGCGTTAGCACGGAGGCCAAGGACAGGGTGTGGAAAGGCAGCAAGTGCACACCACTTGCGCACCCAGGCACTGGGAGGGTTAGGGGGTCCAGCAGGGCTCTGCAGAGGCCCCGCTCAGAGAGGAAGAAACAGCCACGACCCGCTGGGGTGCGCCCGGTTCGCATCAGCAGATCCCTTGCCCGCTCCCAGTCGCTCCCTCAGGAAACCACTCTCGAACATGATGAGTAAGGGGTCTGCCACACACCGGGAGTCGCGGGAAAGACCCAAGTAAAGGAGAGGAAGGATGGGCCTTAGGAGAGGGAACGGGCAGCAGCCTCCTGGGGATGCGTAGGCCTGTCCTTCCGGAACCGCGGCGGAGTCCAACCCCTAAAACAAACCGCTGCTGCTGGTGGAAATTTCAGCATCTTCAAGCTCATGTTGCCCTCTGCTGTCCAGGACTGATATTGCAGCGTTGAAGCCAACGTCAGGGCCCTCGAACCCCCTGGGACCCCCTGGGATCCCCTCGGACCCCCTGGGACCCCCAGACCTCTGTGTTCCTTTCTCCCCGCCCTGGCCGCCCTGCCCCCGCTCCAGCCCCTTCAGCACCAGTCTGCAGGGCCGATCTTTCTGAGCGTGATCTTGCGTCCTTCCAGCCCAGGTGTACAATGACATCAGCCACGGAGGCGTCTTCGAGGGTGGCTGTGTACAGCGCGACCACGTCTTCCCCAGCATACACGACGCGGTCCTCTTTGCCCGCGAAAATGCCCGAGAAGCAGTCCCAGCACCCAGCGCCCAAGGGGTAAGTAAGGTCCCGCCCGTAGCGAACCCTGGGCTCCAGGCCACCGCCATGGCCGACCAAGGAGCATTAGAAGGTTCAGGTTCCAACCCCAGTTCTGCCAACCTACTTTTCTGAATCCCAGTGTCCTTATCTGTAGAATGAGATCATCAACTACCATTACCAACTTCACAGAGCTTTCTTGGTTTCTTTTTTTTAAAGGATTAAATGATAACTATATATTTTATGTCACTTAAAAACTATGTGTGTATTATTTTTAAAATCCTTTTGTCACTATTAACTCCCTGATTGAACCAACATACAAAGGCTAGCGTGTTATGCCCTACAACCTGGCATTGCTCATCCACAGCCTCCTGCCTTTTTTCTAAAAGGGCCTAGCCAGGTGTGGTGCTGCACACCTGTAATCCCAGCACTTAGGAGGCTGAGGCAGGAGGGTTTCTGGGAATTTGAGGCCAGCCTGGGCTATATAGTGAGTTCAAGGACAGCCTGAACTACATACCATATTCTGTTTCAAAAACCAAAAATAGATAGATAGATAGATAGATAGATAGATAGATAGATAGATAGATGATAGACAGACAGACAGACAGACCACACTTAGGGAGGGGAAGGGAGTGACCCTGCCAGTTTCAGTTCAGCAGGCCTTGGAGACCTCAAGCTGGCAATGCACAGAGAGGCTGGGTCTGAGCTTGGTCTCAGCCTCTGGACACTTCATTTCCTAGCTCAGTAAGTGGCATGCGAATGGGGTACAAATAACACTGTGTAGGATTCTGGAAAGCTGCGGAGTCAGAGAAAAGGCCACTCAAGCGGGGTCTTTGCACCAGTCCCACAGTTGCCCTAACCGCAGGTCCCTTCCCAGCCCGCCCCTGCCCTTGGCCTCCCTAGACTCCATGCCCCCCACCTGGGCCTCCCCTGCCCTCTCTAGGTCATCAGAGACTTTTCTGGCCTGAGAGCAATGCTTTGCTCTTTGCCATAAGAGAGACTGGTGAAGGTGACGCCATCTATTCCCAGAGCTGACAGCCTTCCCGGGACAGCTCGGGGCCACCCTGGCTCCCGCCCTCCCCACTTAGAGGGAAACTTAGAGGGCTGGGAGGCGGGGAGGGACAGGCTCTCCCTCCACAACCAAACAGGGAGATTCTCGTGAATCTCACTGTTCTTATCGCGTCAATAATGTCCAGTTGTTATGGTTTCTCTGTATCCTGCATTGCTTGTATGTCTGTAGGTCATTTACATTAGATGTCTTCTGTATTTACCCATTACGGACTACATTCCTAGACATGTAAATCACACGTGCGTGCACACACATGCACACACACAGCCCTTTTCAATGCCACAGTAGGGGAGAAAGCCGGCTCTCGCAGACTTGCAGAGAGGGAGGGAACTGGCCACGCTCGGGCACCTGCAGTCACCTTGTAAGCTAAGGAGGGCAGCCTCGGCACACACCTGCCTGGTGCTCTGTTCACCGCTGTACTGGGGGAGGCAGGCGAGGGAGAGGGCAAGAGGCGAGTTATGTGGGAGGCACAGCACCCACCCAGAGCCGGCCTGTGTCCTTCCTGCGGCTGTGTTGTCACTGGGCTCATCTGCACCTGCTTCCCTCCATCCAGGCCCTGGAGGTCACCGAGCTCTCCCTGTGCAACTCGGAGGACAACTCTGGCTACTGGGACTTAGAGCAGGTGAGCAGGGAGACGAGGTGGAGGGGCCAGGACGGGGACCCTGCAGCCCAGGGCTGGCTGGGCTCTCTCACCCCAGCCGCAGCCAGTCATCTGCAGCAGCAAAGCTGCATCCTCGCCCTTCTCTGAACAGCAGATCCTCATTCTTCCCACCGCCTGAAGGCAGCCTAGGAAAGGGAGTCTGGGTGGAATCCCAGAGCGCCTTAGCCACTCTTAACCTGGAAGTCTTGGGGGAGCCACAGAACCCAAGGAGCCCCTGTTGTTACCATCTGTAAATCAGGGAAATGCGGTAATGCTTGTCCCCCACAAGGTTAACGGGGCAGGGGCTCGTGTGTCCTTTCATTACAAAGAGGTATTTATGGGGTGCCTGTTCCTTGCCTGACACAGCTGCTCCCACAACCCTGCCCCTTGGGAGAATCAGATGGATTCTCGGGTGTATTATTGTTGCAATTCTAGTGTACACTGTTATTTTTGCAAGTGGACAGCCCTTAAGAACTAAAGCCTATGTTGATATGAAGGGTTACTAGCCCCACAAGGCCCATGGAAATTACCACTAACTCCAACCTCCTGAATTTAAAAAAAACAAAACAAACAGATGACTAGGTTTAGAGAAATCTGGCTTTGAGCCCATTAAACATAACACCTGTCTCTTTCCATTCATTTTGAGTTTGGGCTCCATGGAACTCTGAATACATCTCAGAGTGCCAATGGGAGAGGAGAGAGTCGGAAACAGCCAGCACCATGGAGATCTGACAGAATAGTTTCTGTGTCTCCTTGGAATCTCCAACACATTCCCATAAAAAGCCTGGGTAGGACTGAAATACTGGCTTATCAAAGTGAGAAAAAATTCTCAGCTTCTCTAGTCTCAACCCTCATTTTACCTAGTAAAGTGAAGCTGAAGTACTAGGAAGGACTCGTGACATGTGGAAGGTCACACAGGACACAAGGGCAATGCACAAGTGGATTCTAGCACCTTCGCCTGTCGTCATGGCACCAGTTCCCCTTGGGCTGGCCTTGCGTCTCCCCTGTACACACACACACACACACACACACACACACACACACACACACACACTCAATGCATCGCTTGGCTGAGAGCCACATTATCCCCTCCAGCCCCTACAGGTCTGACTCTTTCCCTTCCTCTCCCCCTTCCTTCCTGTGGCCCTGCAGGAGATGTTCGGGACCATGTTTCACACAGAGACCCTGACTGCCCTGTGAGGCCCGCTGGTCCCATGCTGCCTCCAGAGCACCTGGCACTGGGGATTCCATGGAGGAAATCCCAGGTGGCAGGGAGTGATGGGGGAGGAGACTTGTGCACCAGGACCTGGCTCCTCTCTCGCCTCCTCCCTGGATGGGAAGAGCTTCCTTCTGCTGGGCTGAGAGTCGGGTGGACTTACCTCTTCACCCCTCCCTAGCCTCTGGCCCCTCCACGGCACCCACCCATGCCCTGCCCCATGCAGCTGGTGCATGTTTTGACTTCTGAACTTCAAGAGTGACCCAAGGGCAGGAGGACAAGGACAACTGCACTGACCTGGTGTGCGAGCTTGGCAAGGGTCCTGGGGCCTGCAGTGCTTGGTGGCAGAGGATTCCTGCTGTGACAGGACACAGGGATACCACAGCTTGTCCCCTCCACGCCCGGCAGCTCCACACCGGGGGCCATGTGATTCCACAGCCTAGGAGCTTCTGTCGCAGTGCCCACATCCCTTCTTCCTGTGAAGGCTGCCAAGATGGCCGCTGCTGCTCAGCACTCCAAACTCCAGTCTGAGCGTCGGTGAGGCCCCTCACAACACCAGAACTTCCTCCTGGGGGCGGCCCACTGAGGGACTCCCTGGGCCTCCTGAAGCACCATTTGCTTCCCCCAAGAGGCTGCTGCCTTCTGCTTGAGACTGAGTAGGAGCCCAAGAAAGGGGGTAGGCAGCTAGTAGAATCCTCTGACAACCTGGCAACAGATACTAGTGATTCTGCACAAAGGCTTTTGGGACTCCTCTTTGTGCCAGAGATTGGGGGGGTGCGGTGCTAGTGCCAACCCAGGCCAAACTGGAGGGACTTGGGTCTCATGGTTCCCCTGACCTCAAGGCCCATTGGGAAAATACCTCCACTCGGATGTCTGCCTTGTCCTTCTTTACTTGGCAAAGAGCCAATCATTTTAACTCTCCTTTATCAGCCTGGATACTGGAGTCACCATAGGGTCCTCCTGCCAGGCAAGGGATGGGGTCTCACAGGTCAGCTGCACCCCTCAGAGGTGGAAAGGAGCAGGTCCAGATGGGTCTTTCTCCACAGGATGTCCTTAACAACCCCAGGACCTGAGGCCATCTTCCTCCGGGAAAGATGAAAGTTGGGGTTCAATCCTCCGCATATACAGGGAGGTACATCTAGAGGAACCTCTATATGGATATAGAGAGGAACCCTACTGTTGGCTTGAAAATAAATAGGTTCCGTGTGCAAGTGTTTTGTAAAAGTTCCATGAAAGAGCACAGAAAATCTTCTGGCTTCTCCTCACTGCTTCTCCTCACTGCTTCTCCCGAGTTCCCTGTCCCAACAGGTTGGGCTGGCCCAGCCTGGGCAAACATCCCAGTCCCTAACTTCAGCCTGATCTGCATTGTATGTCTGTATGTTGAGCGAGCTGATCGGCTAGCAAGTCTTCCTAGAGTTAAAGGAGAGGGTGCTGGCACAGCGCCCACGCATTCTTGGCCCAGAGGCGCTGCTTCTCAGTGAATTCATTATGCCATCTGTTTGCCAATGGAACCCAAAACTTGGAAGGCAGAAGACAATGTTATCTGGGATTCACCGTGCCCAGCACTCGAAGTGCCAAATTCCAGGAGGACAAGAACCTTAGCCAATGACAACCCACCCTCCCCTACTCCACCTCCTCCAAAGTGCAGCTCAGGCCCAGGAGGTAGAGGAAGGTCAGTCTCAGGACTGCTCAAGTCAGAATCCCCCTTTGAACCAAGTGTCTAGATCCCAGGGGGACTTGGAGAAGTGACCATTAATGCCAGGCCAGCCTGAGGACTGAAGGGGATTGCTGACTTACAGTGGCCCAGAGTTGAGGCTCCAGGAATGATCTGTGACATATCAGGACAATAACCACTCCCAGTACCCCCTCAGCGGGCAGGGGAAGACACAGAAGCAACTTCGCAGTCCAGATATTTTGGAAAGAACACAAATGTCACACCGACCACTTTTCTGACATGACTGAGGCAAAGGTAGCAAAATAACCCAGAATTTCAATCCTTTTTAATGTTCTTACTGATGCTGACCTGTGATGATACGATTCCCAGGGAGGACTGGGAAGCTTGTCTCTTGAGATATTTGTGTAATTTATTTAATTTAAGTGTCATTCTCTTTTCATTCATTTTGGTAATAAAGTGGTTTTGAAATGTGAACAAGTACACCTTTGGGTGGTTCAACAGAGGGGCAAACAAGTCACTTCCAGGGAACGTCTGGCTTGGCTTTGCACCATCCTGAGATGAAACAAGGACCTGAGATTTCCTCATGGGTCTCCTAGCACCTCTCCAGTTTCTGGCTTTGCACTCCGGTGGAGAAGCAATTTTTCATGACCCAGCTAGAATGTGGAGATCAGGGAGAGAAGAGTGGACTAAAGGATTCACATACCCAGAACCAGCTCTGAGAGCCAACTCTGGGCTTTGGACTATGAAGGGCCAGAGGTGTGATCAAAATGATCAGTAAATGTTTATGTGAATAACAGTAAAAGACACATTGCTATTAATCTCCCTCAAAATATTTCCCCTTGTTTCAAATACTTATCCCATCATTCTTGCCAGTTTCTGAAGCAGTTCTGGAAGTCCTCTTTCATGAGTGTCTTTGTGATAAAAATATATATATATACAGTGAGTGCTACTGAGTGCCGTTCAATGGAAAGGCAGCAAGTCCTCACCCACCTTATTCACCAGGCTGGCACCGTGCAACTTCTGGTTCCTCCTCAAAGTCAAAATGACCATGAAAAGTAACTGATTCAAATTGATTTAAGACACTGAGGCAGCCATGACAGCACAACTAAAGACACCCTGGAAGGAGGACTTCCAGAACTGCTTCAGAAAGTGGCAGGAGGATGTGAGAGCGATCTGGCTGTGACATCTGTCACCCCATCAATCTGCAGGCTGATTTGGCTGATCTGGCTGCTTAGGTGAGTGTCCCTTTCCTCCCTCAGCGCTCCATGCTCGCCCCTCCCGGAGCTGTCCACTCAAAGACGACCACCCCGGATAGAGGAGGACCGTTGTTTCCTCAGTCAAGGGTATAGGAATAGCTGCTCTCCCCTGCTAGAACCTCCAAACAAGCCCTCAAATAAGTGGCGAGTGGGCCGGGGTTTTAGCTCAGTGGTGCCGCCACATGCCTTGTAAGCACAAGGACCAGAGTTTGATCCCCAGTACCAAAAAAAAAAAAGTGGCAAGAATGATAGGATAAGTGAGCTCAAAGCAAGGGAGAGGTTTTTTGTGTGTTTTGTTTTAATCTTAAAACAACAGAAATTTATTTTCATGGTAATGGAAGTCAGTAGTTCAAAATCAGTTTTCACTGTATTGAAATCCAGGGTTAGTAGGGCCACACCCTCTGGAGAACGTCCAGAGAATCCAGGTCTTGATTCTTCTACCTTCTGGTGGCTGCAAGCATTCTTTGGCTTGTGGCTCCATTCTTCAGGACCATCATCTTCAAACCACTCTTTACTCCATCTGCAGATCATTTCCTCCATTTGACTTCAAACCTACCTCCCTCTTGCATTGAGAACACCCCTGGAAAATCTCTTTTCAGACTTGACTTTCTTTAGCGGGTGACACTCACTCTCCCCTTCCTCTGGCTCCGGTTTAGCTCTCAAAGGACTGAGTGCTGCCCCAGGCTCAATCACTACACTCCCAAGTGGCTCCACAGAGCCTGTATCCACCCCCCCACTTCCATCATACTGACCACCTCATCCTCCCAAGGCAACTGGCTGGAGGACCCAAGGATCCCTTTCTGAACAAGTCCCCACTCCTTCGTTTCTCTCCTTCTTGCTCCTAGACAAACTGTTCTCCTTCTCCTTTTTGGAGCCGGCTACACTGTGTGACGCCTTAGCCACCATCTCCAAGCCCTTGGAAGCAATAGCAGCAAGCAGGCCTCCTGCACTGGCACCATCTCCTGAGCACCCCTGCACCTCTTTCTTGCTAGCTTCCCCCTCGCTTGGAGTGTACAAGGAAGTCCCTGGAGTAGGTTTGCTAGTGTCTTTGCCATTCATTCCTTTTGAATTTTGATTTGCTTTCCTTCCCTTGAGGACCTGGCACTGGGGTCACAAACTTGATGTTGTCTGGTAGTGGGGCCACAGCCCTAGGAGCTGGTATCCCCACCTCCTTTGAGCCTGACATTTCCAGTTTCTGCTGGTCCTTTTCCAGATTGGCGTCCAGGTCAATGATGAGATTCCCTACTCCAATGTCCCATTCATCCCCACTGTCATGTGTCTCAACTGGGTTTGCATCTACTCCTTTCCCTCCAGAGGCGCCACTGCTCAAGGACATCTTAGAGTCAACGTCCACCTCAAGATTCAAGGCTCTTCCTTGCCCCAGCTTTCCTATTTTCAGCTTTAGCTATGTTCTCAGACCTGCCACATTGGTCAGTACATGCCCAGTGGACGACATCATTGCTGTTCTCTGGTGAAGAGAGTCCTTCACTGATGCTTGGTGGACCCAGAACCTGCCAATCAGCATCATCTATCTTCATTTTGTTTGTCACAGCCAACTTGCGCAGCTGGTCCTGGGAGCCGCCACCACCCAGGGAGAGATATTCTAAGGGGCATTAATAGCAATGTGTCTTTTACTATAATTTTTAAAATTTAAACATTAATTGTATTTTTCAATCACATCTCATGTAGGGAACAGGGGAAGGGGACGTTACCAGAACCTCTGTAGTAAGTCCTAGTCTCCTGTGACCCACAGCAGCACACAGCAAATTACAGGAAAGGCAGAAAAATGAGACTGAGAAGAAGCTGAGCTTTGGGTTTGATCAGTGCTGCTCTGAGCACCAAAGATAAAGACCCCCTAGCTTGCAGCACCTTTTATTCAGTACATGGGGAAACAGATGTAACAAGTGAAATGCAGAGTTCAGTACTTCAAGTTGGGATAAACAAGGTGTAACAAAAGACTGGGGTGGGGGAATCTAAGAACAATGAGGAACTGTGCAGATGAAGATTTGGTTCCTCCCTGGCCTCTCCCGCAGGTGTGGCCTTGCCCTGGAGCATCATAGCATTGTGGGATCACTGAGGTCTCAGTTGTGACCCGAGGCCAAAATGCAATTATGTCTGGAAGGCCGTAGCTGGCCTGTAGGCCCGAGAACTAGGCCTACTCAAATGATTTTTCCCTAGAATTATGTAGCATTGCTCCTCACAATCTCATATTAAGGAAGTCAAATCCCCAACCTCTTGTATGCATACACTTTACTTGTCAATTCTCCTGCATTCATAAGATGTTTGTTATGGGTCTGTTATGGTTTCCATCTACATTGCCCCCAAAAGTCTCATGTATTCAGGGTGAGACTTTTGAAAGGTGATTGGATCATGGGGGTGCTGTGCTTGCTCATCAGGGAATTAATAATTTCATAGTTAACTGCTGTTGGGAGGTGGGGCCTGGTCAGAAGAGGTGGGTCACTGGGGGCGTGATCTGGAAGGGTGTATTCTGGTTCCCAGCTCCTCCCTTCTCTTGCTGGTTCCTGGCTGCCATGGGTTGAGCACCTTTCCTCTGCCATCCCCTTATGCCATGCCATTTCAGCCTTGGAGTCAACCAACCACAGACTGAACCCTTTGAAACTATGAGCCAAAGCAAACCTGTCTTCCTTTCTTTTGTTTTTTTTTTTTTTGGTACCAGGGATCAAACTCGGGACTTTGTGCTTGCGAGGCAGGTGCCGGAACCAAACCTGTCTTCCTTTAAAATGTGGGTGTCAGGTACTTTGTCCCAGCGATGGGAAAGTGACTCATACAGGGTCAACATCATCAATACTCAGCAAAGACTAGAATTCTCAGTCTGGGAGAGCACATGATCTAATCCCACCCCACCTCCTGTTTGTGAGTGATCTCAAGGAGAGTGAGGCCATAGGATTCGAGTGCCCAACAAGCTAGACTGACTCCTAGCTTTGCTTACTCACAGTAAAAAGGGAAGGAGATAAGAAGGATCAGAAAAAGAAAGCATAAAAGTGTGAGGAAGGCAGAAATAGAATGAAGTGGAAAGAGATGACCAGAGAAAAAGCAAAGAGAGAAAGCAGATGAACGGTGAGCAAAATAGACACGTGGGAATGAAGAGATGAAGAGAACTAGAAGAAAGAAAAATGGGGCAGGAGAAGGAAGATATATTGCACAGGCAGAAAAGACAGTGAGCTCCAAATGACACATAATTATGAACTGATCTTGCTTTATCCTCCTGTTCAGCTGGAATGTGGGATTTGGACTGATTCCCGGTTAACATCCTTCCCATTTGAGTTTTAGATATTTGTTATTGATGCTATCTTAGCCTGAATCCTTCTAGAAGCAGAATCTGAGGCCCAAGTCTGTGCACGGGTTATTTAGAAGTGATCGAACAGAGCAGGAGTGACAAGCAGGAGGTGTGAAAAGAGGAAAGGGAGAAGCCAACATGGCGATGAGAAATAGAGGGAGCCATGGCAGAGCACAACTAGCTGTCCTGGAGAAACACTCAACCGTCACTCCCATCTTCCATTAGTCAAGAGCTGGGTATTAACTCTCCAGGAGTTACAGGTTGCAAGGACATAAGTGCAGAGAAGTCCCCATGGTGTCCCACGTGCAGCAGGGAAGCCTCGGTAGGAAAGAAGAGGCACCACAAGGCTTCAGGGAGGGACTGGCAGGTAGGGCAGCTCCAAACGCCAGCCTCAGCAGCGGCTCAGTAGGGATCACACATAAGGGACATCAAATTCAAATGCATTTTAAATTTCTCATCTTTTTTTTTTTCTTAAAAGATATTTTTTGTTCAATTCTTTTGTAGAAACATTGGTCACCATTTAACACACAGCAGCAACAAAATGCAGCCAGTATACATGCATCAGCAAGTCAATAAACGGTAATACATGGACAACACGAATTTCAAGCAGTACTAAAGTGGTAGGAATAGCAAATATGAGAAACAAGGAGTTCCAGTTTCAGTCTGAAATAAGATTTTTTGTGTAAGTAACATGAAACAATGGCTACAGATCATTCGCCGAAAAAGAACCATTCTTCAGAAATCGCTTATGCAGAGCACCATATTAGAGCAGGACAAGATCCTGAAAAATGTACACCTCCAGTTAATGACAGAAGGGCTTCTTTTGAAAATCAATTCTCTATGATTCAAATTTTTTATTGTGACTGTAAAGTAAAGTATCTTACAGTATGAAGGTTCCATAGTCCATATTTTGGCAACTTAAATAATTCTGCAGATTTTCAATTAAACTGACAGATTCTGATAACCATTCTGTAAATAATACAAATTCCATTAATAGTAGAACTGGATTATTTTTAAGAATAAAAATAGAAAACAAAAGTTCTTTCTAAACTTATAGGCCAAGTTTCTGGATATGAGACTTAAGAAGTTAAGCACCAAAAGCTAAATTTCTCATCTTTTAAGACCCATTTTTGCCTAGATGGTATAACTACAATATGGTCTTAGTGGGGTAGAGTCAAGAACTTCCATGAGAT